AAATTTATTCTACATATTTTAGCATAATGATTTCAAATAAACTGTATATTAATATTTGGTCATAGCTTGCTAATTTTATAAAATATTACAAAGTTGTCAATCTCTTGCACAACTTTATTGTTAAATACAAAATCTGAAGACTTTATCTCAAAACATTTTCATAGTTAGCATAAAAGCTTTTAATGAGATTAATCAGTCACGACGAGAGAAATGGGCATTAGCTAGGCATTAGCAGGGCAAATAAGCGTGCCATACTTAGTATGGCAAAATATCCAGCAGCGAAACTGTCTACATTTTTCAAAAATTATTCTGACATTTACCCTTTCATTTTTCATGCCACGTTTAATTCTTAAAGACAAACGCGCGCGAATATACCGAAATTCTATACATTTAATTAACTCTTTAATTTTATATTTTTAAATTAAAATAAATTAAGAAATGTAAGTAAAATTATAATTAAAATTAAAGCGGATATATTGTTAAAAATAAAATGTTAATTTTAACTTAAAGACGTATAGTGGACTTTCTGAAACATTAGTTAAAATTAACATTTTTGTACAAAAAAAAATGTTAATTTTAACATTTTTGCGTGTCTCAGAAAGTCCACTATACGTCTTTAAATTAAAATTAATATTTCACTTTTAACAATGTAAAATTACAAGTAAATCGTAAACAATTTGATTGTATATAAGAGCGAGACTCACCGATGGTCGTTATTACGGTAAGGGAATACAGAAAAGCACCGGCAAAAGTCCACTTAGTTTCCTTCATACCATTGTATCCATTTTTTATAGCTGACACTATCGTCGTTTGGTAATTCTCGAGAATGTTTCTTACCTTCTCCTTCCAGAGTTTTTCCGAAAACACATTTTCCTATAAGCAATATATGGACAGTGTCAAAATGTCAAAACAAATAAATATCGACAATATTAATAATGTCATTCGTTTGTTCTCTCGATATTTTAGTTAAAGAGTGATCTAAATATGTGTAAAAATAGATGATTAATAAAACTTGTAAAAGATAAAATACGTATATTTCTACGTATCTGTTCTTGCCGATATCATGCGATTTCACTACTGCGAGAAATTATAGCGCGTAGCTCGATTCACGTAAATTCTTCACCTTAGAAGTAAGCTCCCAAAGAAAGTCGGCCGTCGAATTTCTTAACTCGATGACGTCGCTGGCGACATTCAAGTTGGTTTTACCCTCGATGTAGATGAATAGGAAGGCGCCCGCTATAGTGTAGCCCACTACTAGACACACGATGCCGACGTTACTGAAGAGGAATGCTATCAGCGTCCTGATCCAGTCGGCGATCCGCTCACCCCATGGCTTCCGCTTGCGTTTCCGCCGTCTTCCGCTCCGGCTGCGATAACTTCCGCGTTGCCAACTCCTACTGACTGACGAACGGGGCGTCCTATCCGTTTCCATCGACGATTACGACTTCTCAATGTCACCTCGATCGCATCACTTCCGGCCGATTCGCGAACATCACGCTTCCGGATCGCCGAACTCTCACTGAGTTCTCGCCGTTGCTCTCCGTTGTTTATGATATCACTACGTATAGGTATCCTCTCGTGGACGACTAACCACGCGGAACGGTCACTTCGAACCTTTGATTCCCTATTTCTTAATAATTCATTGATGATGATTATAAAATGCCTATCGCAAGAAACCGCCAAGTCACCACAAGAATTCACATTATTGCTCGAAAACCGCAGTCAAGTAATTGGCTTCGTTCCATTTCGTTTCCATTAACATCATCTTACGATCGAAGGCCAGAGAAATCTCGCTCATTAATTTAAAGTTTAAGTGAACGCGCGCGTTATATGAGATTTTTTTCTTAAGTTAATTTAGTTGATACAAAGGTTTCTAATATGTAATAATTACGATCGTGATAGTTTGTTTTTTCAACTTTCAATTTCTCAATTTTTCACAAAAATATATGTATATCAATTAATGAGCTGATGTTATTTGAATTGGATTTTTTTCAAAATTGATACTCTAAAACTGTATATATTTAATTATTATGATCGATTATCGCGATAACTTTACTAGCAAATGTATATATATATATATATATATATATATAAATGTGTGTCTATAATGGTTTGATATAGAAAAATGTAGCATACAGAACTACAAGAAGATCGCGAACTCTTGTATGCGAGCACTGACCGAGGCTAATGGAAAATTACGCTCGGCAAATTTAATAGGAAATGTCCGATCTTCGAATCTCTTTTACCTCCGCGAGTTGATTCTCGGAATCTGCTATCGACTCCGTCGTGGTCCACGGGGAATAAAAAATCACGACGTCTTTGCAATTGCAGTAGAGATGAGCCACTTGGCTGCTTAACAAAATCTATTGTAAAATTGTTTACGATTCCATGAAAAATGATCGACATTTCCTTGAAGTCGTCGACATAGAATATAATCTCTTTAATTAAATTGTTTCAATTTTCGTAGACAATTTTCGCAAACTGAGAATAAATCAACGAAACGAGATTGTTCAAGACTCTATGTTTTGACACACAATTAATATGAAATATTTTTCTATTATGATTCTATAAACTTGACAAAATATTTTATTTTAACGTGAAATATCTTATTTTATTGAATCAAACTCTATCCCGAATTATGAAGATGGCTTATTATAGATAGAATGTTAATGATAAAATATTTTAAAGAATTAACATCAATCAATTTGTAAAAATTAATATGCAATATTGGAATCTATTTCTTATTTTACTATTGTCTTAATATTAGAGCGGTGAAACATTTCTGAATATTTATTTTCAAAAGCTTTTATATTTAATCAAATCTTGGAATCAACATTTACCTCATATTTTTCGTGCATTATATCAATTGTGATGAGATTCATGCGTTTAATTCTCGTTGCGAAAACTATGTACACATATACGCACATACTAACATATTAACTAAATAGACGATTATAAGATGCCGCCATCACGCGTAAGAAAGATCATTAATTTACAATTTTCGTTTTTTTTTTTATAAATCATTTTTCTGAGAATTTTATTGATATTATCGCGATTAATTTAAAAATATTTGTGATTCTTTGTGAAAACCTTGCACCTCGATTCCTCAAAATAATACAGTACGTGCACTATTATTTATTTCGTCTTCGGCATGCCCCTCCCCCGACTCTCGTTACATCATTATTACGCGCGTACACGTACACGTTGAAACGAGCAATTAATTTTCGAGCGATGACATCCCATTGTGCACTACGCTTTTGCGAAAAGATCCATGTTTGGCGATAATCGAGATAGAATCTGAGCTGTAATTGCCGGTACACAAACATACAGAGAACAACCCATCTCGACCAAGTTTCTTCATAAACTGATTTCTCCGTAGCACCCCGCGTCACGACATGCATTATCCCAAAATAGCGCGTCGCCGAAAATAACTGAGTTCAAGTCGCCTGGGTCTGGTTGTACAGCCGGTCGAATTGTTAGACTTATCGGACACCCGGTACAGACGAACCTGTTTCGATGATCCAGTTGTGCACAAAATGTTGAGATGTTAACATTTAAAAAAGTACCAACAAAATATTAACAAAAATATATTTAGAAAAAGTTTTTTTTCTCGTCAATTTTTAATATCTCTGCTTCTAAATTTAAATGATCAATTAACAATATATCCTTTGATCAATTATTCACTGATGTATATATTTAGGCAAAAATATTTAATTTTTTTTATAGAGAATAATTTTATGACGCTAAGGAAATGCGAAAGAGATAGAAGGAGACAGAAAGAGAAAGAGAGAGAGAGAGAGAGAGAGAGAGAGAGAGAGAGAGAGAGAGAGAGAGAAAGAGAGAGAGAGAGGGACACGTCATTTTAACCGGCTTTAAAATTTATGAAATGCAGATTTCGCCGGTGGCAGGATTGTTCATTCGTAATGGACGCGAACGAAAGTTCTTAGCGACTATTATTTCTTCTTTGAGTGGACTTTATCGCGCGATTATCGAGTCGTTGAAACCGGAGCCGTTAACTGGATACCGTCGCCACCGCCATCGCCGTCGTCGAGACGATTAACGTCCTCGCGATTTAAACGACGAAATGCAACTGCGAGCATAGTAGCGAAAATGTAAGAGAACGTATATGTATGGATCGCAAAGAGGATGAAAGGGATTTGCATAGCAAGCGTGAATTTTGCATGCGACAAGTGCGTCCGGAAAAATATTGTAAGAACAATTTTCTGTGCGCGGAAGGTAGTAAGCCGCACGAAAATATCGTACCCGTTGGAAGATAATCGTATTCTCGCGTCGCGTGCATTCGAAGAAAATTTAAGAGATTGCTGGAACGTAGGACTATTTTATGGAAATGTACAGTCTCAGATTTTTAGCTGTTCCACAGCTTCCTGAGCAAGTTAAACGAATGAGTTAAATGAAATGAAATGTTGCGCTTGCTGTCTTTGTGTCGCATTATTTTTGCAAAAGAAAATTTAAAAAGTACGTAAAAGTAAATTGTTATAAATAATGTACATTAATTAAATAAACATCTTAATAATTTTTACCAAATTTACAATTAGATTACTTTATTAATATATAACAAAAGATAATAATAATAAACTTCTCAGTATCGCTACTTCTAATATTGTGTAAATAATGAAACATGAAAGGTTTCTAAATTAAAAGATCTTTGAAAGTCCTAAGGAATTAAAAAATTTTAGTAATAATAATATCTAGATGTATAGTATTTTAATAATTGGAATATTTATAAATTGAAAAAGATAACTGAAATAATAAATTCTGTTTTTAAATTAATTTAATTGCATACGTTTGTGTTTATTCTTGACTTACATGAAAAGAGCTAGATTACTCGATTGAAAACTATCGATCCACGAGAAATCAAATCTGTGTCGAAATTGACACATATCGATCTAGATGAAACACCCTAAATCTTGTACTATGTATATGAAGATGGATGACTCGCGTTCCAGATCTTGTCGAATAGTAAGCTGAAAACCACGAAATCAGAGCTTGGGCTCGTTTTCATAGACCTCATCTTCGTACTCGGCGTCGTATTCGTCGTAGTCCTCGGCTTCTTCCTCCTCTTTGTTGTTGATGACTTCCTCTTGCACCAGATTAAAGCTCATTGCCAGCAAGGCAATTCCAAATAGCAGGTAGAGAGAACAAAGGGCGATGCCCTTCTGCGCGTCCAACGCCGGCACATAGTCGCCAAAACCTTAAAATAGAAAAGATAGGAAATTGTGCCAGTTTCATGTCATAGCGTTCAAAATAAATGTAAGATTAATTAATAGATAGAGATAAAAATAGAAGTAGAGCCTCTAAGACCTTCAGAAGACATACAGATATTATATGTCTATGGTATGTTTTCTGTGGAATGTTACGAATAAATATACATTTATTTTAATAAGATTGCTATATCACTAGTTTCAATGGCATGAACTTTAGAAAATAATAATTAGTGACATCATATCTTTTCGTAAACAGCGAAAAAGGAATTATTAATTATTAGGAAACAAACCGATGGTGGTCAACGTGATGAAACAGAAGTAAGCCGACTCAAGGAACGGCCAACCTTCCCACCGGTTGAAGAGATAAGCGCCGCCAAGTATATAACTGACGACCAGAAAGACACACAGCCAAATAGGCACGGGCTTGGTCGGTTGTCTTTCCTGATCATCCGTACCAGAATAGTAATCGTAGTCAAAATCAATATCATCGGCATAAACCTGTCGATGAACAGCAAATCCCATTGGTGACATAATTCTAGGCGACGGCAGCGGTCCCCGTTTATAAGAACGCGCTAGAAAAAGATATTTAACCAATTTGACAATTAGAAAATACACGCACACATTATTGATTAACTTATTATTTCAGTTGTTAATCGGAATATTTGCAAGTACAATGTAACAATTTTGAATAATTTGGATATGCTCGATAATTAGAAATATATTCAATATAAGTTAAATTAGATATATAAATATAAATTGCAAACATTTTATGCTTTACGAATATCATCATTTTTATTCTAAAAATTTGATTCTCTCATTTAGATATCAATATTCATTTACATAAGTCGTTTTAGATATAATCAGTCGCTTCTCAAAATTTCCATCAAAATAAATAATCGAAAACAATCGATTATTTTCAATTAATCTGATTGAAATTTAATCTATGTTTATATCGCCATTCACTTACCAACAGAATAATTGCTCCTAGTGCGTCTACTTTTGCTAGACTGCGATCTTTTCATATATTCCATTTCCAAATAGATCGAAGCTGGTCGGTGTCCTGAAAATGAACTCGCTCTATTCGTCGTCGTAGCTCCTTCTACAGAAAGACATCTTCTCGGCAAAGATCTGCGGCTAAACGAAGTTCGTTTTTCAACGCCATCCAACTCTTCAACCATTTCTGTGCTTTGCGGTTTCTCTGAGTTCTCGACTGTAATAGCGTCGGTTTTATTTAATTTCTTCAAATGTTTCAAAGTATAGTGTCTTTCATCATCTTAAATAAATACTTATTTGAATCCTGAACTAATAAATAGTTGTGTTATCATATATGAAATAGCACGAATAGTATATCATACGGAATAATCATATGCAATATATCTAACAATAAATATCTAATAATATGTCAGTATTTTTTTATGTAGAAAAAAAGATTATTCATTTTCGTTTTTCAATTACAATTCCTAGAATTATAATTGATATATAATTAATAATATTAATGATATTAACGCTCACCTTTATTTTGAGGTAACTGCCACCTCGATGTTTCATCTTCCAAATCATCCAATGCATATCTGTTGCACAAAACCGGTGAGCGATCCGCTTCATTCGGATTCATCAGCAATTTTCTGTCCAGTGACTGTGTCGTTATTTTGGGACTGGCTGTACGCGGCAATGCAAATAACGCAAACCAACCGATTTGTTTAATTAATCAATGAGTCGATACCGAGTGTAATGTGGCGCAATCCATGCGCTTGAATTAATTAATTAATTAATATCTAACGGCAGCATTTTGTATCTTGTTCGTGTAATTCTGTGTGATTTCATATGTGACACCGACATGTCGTTTATAACTCTTTTATTATGTAAATAACAAACAAAGTAAACAGCAGAGATAGAGAGATTAAATTTAACATAAAATTTAATTATTCGCCATTTATCTGTTTCTGTATTTTGATTGTCTGTGTATGACAACAAAATAATATCTTTTTTTATAAAATTAGTTTGGGATACAACTGCTTACGTATATTATTTTTATCTGTCAACTTTATAATCAATTTAAAATTAACATGAAATAAACAATTGATAAAATCGATTAAAAAATACCTCTTACGCTTCTCGGAGTCGCCATTGGAATATCCGAATAACGTGGCACAGTTGCGGCCTTAATTTCCATTGGATGATTTGTAGAAGGTGTATAACCGATTGGTTTTGATTCACTTCCTTCCAATCGTCGAGACATATACCTACAGTTTGTTTAGTCTTATACATTAATTCTTTATTCCTATAACTTTTTAATTAAATCTAAATATATTTGTGTAATATATTTTATGGTTACATTAATTAGATAGCAAGTAATCAGAAAAACTATATTTATGATATAGTTTTATTTGAAAGATATAGATTTTTATGATATAGACTTTTATTTGAAAGATAAGGTCACTAATTGAATTGATTAAATGATCTTACCTGCAATCAGTATCAGAGTACGAAGACTTTGTCATACTTTCGGAGAGCCCTAAGGCCGAGTCAGCTGATCGTTGACTCACTCTGATGGATCGACGAAAAGGACCTCTACTTGATCCATACCGCCTTGTAAAGAATAATAATTTTTCATGTTATTAAATAATAGTTTATAAATTTTTATTTACACTGGACACAGATTATTTATGTAGAATTTATGTAGAAGTCAATAATTTTATTTCAATTTTTAAATAAAAATCCATAAATGTTTAGGAACCTTCTTCTTGTGCAACATATTAATACATTATTGATTTGTGATTTTTATTTTATACATATTACATACTGTATTTTTATGAAATTTAGATTTTCACTTTTTTTAATTTTTCTTCTTTCTATTACATTTTTGTATAACAAAATATTTAAAAAAATTTGTATATTATATATAAAATTACCCTGATTGACGAACAGAATACGACCTAACCAGATTGTTACGTCCTCGTCGTTTTTTTGGTGGTTTCGTGCACACGTAACAGCACACTTTCCAATATAGAAATCTAAAAATATTATAAATCCGAAGAAAAAAACAATTTTTAGCGCTAATGAAAACTAGTAGATAAATATTTTATATTTGTTATGTGAAACTTTGCTAAGATTTTTGATTTTATTAATATGGAACTTATATTTATATATGATTAAACATTATCTGTTACCTAAAACTCGACGCCATCACGTCTCCGATATTTGATAGGCAGAGCAACATAAGTGGGATGCCGAGAATGGCGTAAAAAATAGTCACTACTTTTCCATTTTTCGTTTTTGGTGCAATGTGACCGTATCCTGAAACAAGAAATAGAAAAATAGAATGCATAAGAGAAAAAATTTTTATACAAGATTGCAAATTTATTCGATAAAGTATTTTACGCGAGAAGCAAACATAAATATAAAATACTATTCAGTTTATTGCACTACGAGTCAAGAATCATTTTGCTAAATGAGTTTGATCGATAATAACTGTATCTTTAGAGCCAAGTTTAATAATTGATTTAAAAACTTCAAATTAAAAAAACAAATTGAAGGTCATAAGTCTTTAACTGTACTCGCCTCAGCCTTGAATCTTTTCTTCTAGACTCGCCAACAGTCTCATAATTTCGTTAACAAGTCTGGGTCAAGGTCGCCGAGATTCTTTATGATATAATGAAACTCGTCTATTATATAAGATCAACAGTCATGCGATAGCGGGATCTGCCTTCACGGTTATAATTCCCAAGTGTTTTTTTTTTAAATTATTAGAAATAGTTCACATTTCTTTATTATTAAATTAAAAATAATAAAAATATTTATACGTAATTCTTCACATTTTTTATTTGAATAATAATATAAAAATGTAAAAAATTTCTGATAAATAATATTGAGAAAGTATATTATAGAAGTTCTGTAGGAAAAGAATATAAAATATAATTTTATAATAAGATGGTAATATTAAAGTGTCGGAAAATATTATAGAAAAATATTGAAAATTAGAAAAAATAAATATTCTATTTAAAATATTTTCTATTTAAAATATTTTTTTCTATTTAAAATATGAGTCTTTTGTATACAAAAATAATAATATGATGAAGTTTATGACACTAAATTATCCAAAGCAGGTCAATATTACCTATTTTTTCATTGAATTCAAATCTTTTGAATAATTTTGATTGTGCAAATTTTAAAACTGTTATTTAAATATTGCAATAAGGTAAATATATTTAAATATCTTTTTATGTATAATAACTATGAATAAACTTTTATGTATAATTCTTTTTTTTATAATTCACGAAGTATTCCCGTAATACAAACGAGAATTAGTGAAACATAAAAAAAAAATAAAATTTTTTTTATTTACAAAAAAGTACTCTATACTTAGTACACACAATGAGTCATTTGTGACCCAGAGATGAACTTCCGAGTTATTCTAATCAAAGGATACGCACAAATTGAGACCGGTAACGTACAAAAACTTGTTCTCTAAATACCAAACTTTTTTTTAGAAAGAAGAAAAACCGGTATTTGGCCAGGTGCTTTTAATATTTCAAAGAAAAGAAATCATGTATACTAAGGATTAAATATTTTTTAATAAGAACAGAATTAATTTATTTTATATTTAAACAAAAGTATCTAAAAAAGCCAGCCATTTTTAATATAAAACAAGATAAACTCTATTTTGTATTATTATGTTAGTTCCTCATTGGCGGAAATTGTTTATTACAAAAAACCAATAATCCAAATGCATCTATATCAAGACTTTTTCCACTTTATCGAAAGAACGGATTTATTCGCACTCGTGAAAACAAGATGACCCATAATTTTACCCCAATGAAGCCATTTATTACGATGATCCCAAGGCGAAATGTGCGACAAAGGCAATTTAGACCCCCTCTTGAGCGGAATTGATTTTATGATTTTATCCAATAAAAAATTTTGTGACAAAGAGTATTTTTATGATATTTAATTATATTGAAATCAATATTAAAGTAATAATATCTATATCTCTCTTTATTCGATTTTGTTTTAATTATAAAAAGTGGAATTTGATAAATTTTTTTCTATATTGAAATATCAGAAAAGAAGAATCTCCCTTATATACAGTATAAGGTGCAGCATATAGTACTGTGCATTATGCAATCGTACATACAACCAGGATGGAAAATATCTGTTAGGTAAAAACTCCGTTTTCTCAGTGAATATATGAATTCTTTAAGAATCCTAAGATGTCAAAAAAACTTTGCGATCTATGCGCATTGCGAGATCTTGCTTTTATTCATCTTTTTTTTTTTAATTCTTGAACGATATAACATTCTTATTCCAAGAGGAGAAAATAATCAAGGAAAAAGAAAGAGAAAGAGAGAGAAAGAGGGGGGTAATAGCGCAGGAAAATGAGAAAATAGGTCGTATAATCGATGGCAGGAAATTATTCAAAAAAGAAAAAATATATAAAGGGAGGAAGTTGCCAGGCACGTCGCGAAAGTCTGTCGAAGAAATGAATTTTTGTCGAGGAATTAATTCGCTCAATCGTGGTAAGTGCAACATTCATCTACTAAAAATTTCGATAAATCTTCATTTCTCCTCAATGAGTCACATCTAATTTCGCTGAAGTTAATTTTTACGCAGTTACAAACCGGAAACATTTTCCGACATCACGAGAGAATACATTGACATTTCCTTTGAATATATGATATCAATTTTTTTTTAAATAAACGTATTATGGATATTGTTGAATTAAGTAAAGATAATTGTTAAAATTAATACTTTTTTATAATGCAAAATTTTTTATTATATAAAATTAAGAATATGGCAATTACCTTAATGCAAAGCTATTTATTTTGAAAATATAAATCAAAGGATTTTTATTGGAAGTTTTATAAAGCCATTTAATATCAAAGATTAAAAATTTCCATTATCAGATAATATAAACATATATCTGATACGAAGAAACCATCGTTAAAATATTATTCGATATTAAGATATTTTTTAAATATATATAATATGTAAAAGTAATAAAAAATAATTTATATTATTTTTTTTAAGTAGTATATTATAATAACTTTTTATTGAAATAAAAATGATGAGAAAATAATACTATTACATAAAATAGACACATACTTTATATTTAAAAAATAATATTGCATACATATCTATATGCACATATAATTAAGTTAGTTGTTTCAATTTTCTGTAACTATAATAATTTTTCATAATAGGATTTACAAACAGGGCAAAAGTCGCGATGAATGGTCAAAACATGCACATTTTATATTCTATTTATGATATAGCAAGAAATTATTTAAAAAGGATTACATGTTAGGAAATTAATTAAAAAGACGAAAGAACATTTTTTCCGATGACGAAATGAATTCGACGAAATAAATACGACAAGTTTTTCTCGAAATGCTGAAGATATTTTGTCAGACTACGACGCGAAAGGGGTTGTAAAGTTTAATTTGATCTTGCATTTTGAAGACATTTACTTATTGTTAAACTTTGGAAACTTATTGAAAAACTTTAGTAGAAAAGAAGACCTATGTTTGGTAAAAAAAATTGTAGTATAATCTCATCAGAGAGTTTTCCCAATAAGAATTTAATAATAATATCTTTTAAAAATATCTAATGATGTTATGTAATTATTTTTTTGTCATTATATTGTATATTCTCCTTTCTCTTTGTTTGCTTATATATAAATCTATAAATAATTTTTATTATTATAGATTATTTACTATTAATCTTTTCAATTCTTCCTTTATTTATGAAAATTTATTTAATCCATAAAAAATATGTAAAAAGTTTATAACTAGAATTTTAAATCAAATATTTGAAATATATGTTAATTGGATATCTGCGCATGTAACATATGTCATAATATATAATAACATTTTTTTAAACGAGCTAAAATATCGAGCGTCGTTCTTTAATACTTAATCTAATGCACTCGTTCGGAAAGAGGTCACTTAATTTGAATTAAATTTCCAAAGTAACTTCCAAAGTTTGACCAATTTGAATTCAATTTTTCTTCTTAAAGCATCCGCGAACAGTTATAGTTTACACATTCGGATTTTGCATAAAAAATGTTTGTTAATATATTCGTAATCGCTTTGCTCCGGAATATAAAATTCCACTGTTTAAATTCTCGCATTTAATCTCATAAAAGAATGTCGTTCCAGAATGAATTTCAAAGCAGCCACGAAATAAAAGCATTTTGCATTTGTTTTGACACGCTTGCTCTTTCTTTAGAAATGCAAACGATGCACATTTACATTCAAAATAGTTCGTTAACCGACAGAAAATCATATTTTCAAAAGAGTTTATAAGAGAAAATTTTCTACTGTTCTTATATGTTTTATTTATAAAATGAACTAGAGAGACCCTATATCAGAGTCTGCTCACAAGCAATTTTATCAAAATCCTACAAGAGAGAAAGGTATATCTGTTATTTCTTCCTGTGTATATATATATATATATATATATATATATATATATATATATATATATATATATATATATATATATATATATATATATATATATATATATATATATATATATATATATATATATATATATATATATATAATCTCACTCTACTTATACTATCTCTTCGTAGCGTTTTTTAATGAAAGAATGTTATTTATTTCACATGAGCATTAAAAAATACATTAATGAAAGTACTTCCCATCACTTGTAAAACGCTACGAATTAATTCCAACACCTAATATATATATAATATATTAATGAAATATATAGTAAAATAAAATAGAATTTTTATGTCGATTACAAAATAGTACAATTTCAAGATAAATTAGCAATGAAATAAAAATATAATTTTATAGGTACTCGTGATTTGTAGTTTTAATTTGACATATATATGATTTATAGGCGGATTTATAGGCAAATTTAATTTAATAAAGGATATATTTTTCAAAAGTGAAGGCTGAAAATCTTTAATGGTAGTAATTTTACTGTCGAGCAAGACAAAGATGCGGGAATTAACGTTACGCCATGTGTCTCGACTTTACTTTAAGAAGGAGGTCAAAGAGTGCGTACATACTACGCGGCCAACCAAGTGGCTTCTCTTCTCCGAAGTCGAAGAACTGGGTTTTCCCAGTTCGAAGGACGCTTGAAGAAACGGAATCGACCTCAAAAATTGACTGGGTCTACCAACGTTACATCGTATAATAAGTTACGCTTGTAAGTCAGCTGGTGAGTTTATTGTAATTTCGCGATTGAGTTTTATGCGGCGAATTTAATTTACATTCTGGATTAAATTTTATTAAAGTCATTCATGCTGATATTTTACTTACAATGAAATTAAGAAACTATATAAAGATTCGAATTGTTCATTATTATTTTACAAAAAAATTAAAATTTTTAAAAATATTTTTTTCACATTAAGATTTCATGCTAGAGCAATACTTCTACTGAATGTGGAAAAAATTAAGCAAGTGTTCCTAGCAGAAGATCGAAATAAAAATATTTATTTTAAAGAAAAAATACAATTTTCTTTTATAACGTACACATCTTGCGCATTGAAAAAATCATGATTGTAAGATGTCAAATAAAAAATAGTTAACAAAAATATCTTATCGTAAAATATTACATAAGATATATTAAAAGCTAAGTACTTGGAAAAGTTATTTGCTAGTTTAGAAGATTAATCATAGAAAATTTTTACAAATTGGCATTATACAAATCTAAAATATTAATTATTAAATATTAGTAACGTTTATGAAGAAATGCATAATTTAAATTTCAATTATCTGTATTTATAAACTCATAATATTTTGAATTCGTATTTTTACTAAGAATTACTCAAAATAATAACTTAAAAAACATGATATTGCGTGAAATAATCGAATTTTTGGGATAATTTACTTAAAAACAAAGAAATACAGTCCATTGATCGCAGATAATTATCAACCGAAAAGACCTCGAAATGTAGCGATGCGTTCACCATCTCACAATGCATATATAAAGACGTGATTCACTTTCACTCTCGTTTAGTCGACTTCGAATGTTATGCGTGCCCAAACGTCTTTCTTTTTCGGCAATATTAACTGAGATGTATTGCATTAAATGTCTTGATTCTGCTATTTGGCAGATAATAAAAATGCGTGTTTCTCTTTTGATCTTTTTCGCCGTGATCGTTACAGCAACCGCTGAGAATGATAAATCTTGGACTTGGAATGATGATAAATCAAAAATCAACCGAAACATCGATGCCAGGTGTGTGTCAATGATTTGTTACATAACAATGTTTAATTACATGTTTATGTGTAATTATACTTTATTCAAATTTTTTACTAAATTTTATTTATCTATTATTTTATTGAATATTCCTGTCATATTAATTAAATTATATATTAATTAAATTATACACTTCATCAACAAACGCGATAACATCTCGTGCCAAATATATTTTTCGTTAGCACATTCTTTTGTGAAGAAGATGCTACAGCATCCTATCCTTTATAGGAAGAAGAATTGCATAATTATACATTAATAGTACTTTTAAATAAAAAAAAGTATAATATTTATGTCGGTTTTAAATCAGACAATCAGCTTTAGGGAAATCTATATGTACTTGTAGCACACTTAGGTAATAACTTCTCGCTGATGCAACTTTTAGGTATCAGACATACGAGCCTTCTGAATATTTAGATGGTTTCAACAACGGCCTTCAGTTAGGATTTAGACCTCAGAATACTGGCCCTTACGGTCCCAATGGCAGACCGCTCATACCAGCATATCAAGGCAACAATGGCGTTCTCGTGGGTCCCGGTGGACCAACGGGAATAATCGGCAGGTATTTCATTCATTCTGTTTACAGCAACCCTTCTATTAAATATTATTTCTATGTTTATACGTTTATTTATATATTTACACGCAATAATTAATTAATTGGATTAATTGACTTTCCAAAATTGCCAAGACTATTCACAATTCGGTGAATTCGGCATGATATATGTAATCTTATTAGAGTCCCTTTAAATCACATTTTTCAAGCAGATTTATTAATCTTGGAAAATTGAGGTTTTCCGTCGACTTCCCAACGTATTTTCCTAGCTCACTCTATATTAAATTTCCAATGATCCGATTAAAATATATAGCATCACTACTCCACGGAGACCGCTTAATTTAGATATTCCCATTCGTATATTTAATTGCATAGGAGGCACAGTTCAGCCATAATAATATTTTATAAGAAATAGCATATAATAATGTTTTATAAGAAATAGCATATATTTGAGTTACTAACTGATAAATAACATATATATTTTTCATAAATTGCAGATTTATATTTAGATTTATATTTATCTATAAAATTCCATTATTGAATTATTTCTCAAATTGTCGTTAATTATGCAACAAACTATGCCAAAATCTTGCTAATTAAAATTTTATTTTGCATAAAGTAAATGTTGTATTAAATATCTGTTTTAAATGTAAAAAAAATGTAGGGACATTGTTATTTCAGACCTCCTCGTTTTGAATCGAATGGACCCGACGGTATTTTGGATTCAGTACCACCATGGATCAGAGATGATCCTCGTTATCGTGAGTTCGATACTTGTAAATGCAGATACAGTTTTAATTGTCCATCACCCGGATTGAAATTCGTGAGTCCAATTGAAAGTTTGTTACACGAAAATTTACAATTCCGAAAAATTTTACAAAATTTGCCTAATGATGATTTTAGGGCCATTGCGCAAATGAGAAGAAGTACTGTTGTTTCAACAGCAAAAGATTCCCAGGATTGTCTGAAGGGCATCATTACCCATATTATCCTGTAACAAAAAGAATTTAAATCTATTCATGCGTTTCCAAATTATTTAACGTGCTCATATACTTGAAATTATATTTTCTGAAATATTATTTCAGGAAAGTTAAAAATATTAATTAATTTTCAAGTTTTATCATATTTACGTAATTCGTAAGTTTCTATGATTTTCTATGATTTTCATATTGACCTTAAAGTAATAATTTCTAGGGCGCACCGTACAAGTACAGACCGAATGGTTTCGAACCATCAAATTATTACGGTAATCGAAGACCGTACGGTAATGGCGGCTACCAACATCCGTCTTTCGATTATTATTCAGGACCCTACAACGATGGTTATGGTCGTCGCAATGAGTTCGAGTCGTTACGGCCATACGGCTACGATCCAGAATCTGACGATTATGTCATCTACGGGAGGTCATTGGGCAAGAATCAAACGCAGACGAATGAGAAACCAAAGACGTTCGAAGATACTAGAAAATAATAATCAGTAAATTCTCGAAACATCTGTTATATCGATATTTCTTTATATTTAATGATAATGCCAAAGATATGACAGAGATATGGAGAAAAATATATTTATATTGGGTTGGGGAAAAAGTTTCTTCGTATTTTTTAATTCAAAATTGTATATACAATATCTTCGTCAAAAATAAATGAAATTTCAATTTAAAAAGAGAGTTTTAAAGCTTGAAATCTTTACTTTCGAAAGATTACTATATTTTTTCAGTTTCTGTGAATTTGATAATTTTTACATCAAAAAAACTGCGAGCTGAAAAAGATGAAAATTTTTCTTTTCACTTTGAGGATCTCTCACGTGTCCAAAAAAAATTTACAAAAATTTTCGACTACCTATTGTGAAAGCTCGAAGCTTTTCCTACAAAATCATTTTTTAAAAATGTTCCTATGATTTTTTGTTACTGAGTTATTCGCGAATTAAGTAAAGGAGCATTCTAACTTTGATTGCTCGTAACTCCGATAAAAATCATCTCACCGCAATTTAAAAAACAGATTCTTAAAGCTAAAACTTTGCTCTAACGAATAATATAATTGTAACGAAAATTTTGCAACAAATGAAAAACTTTTGCGAAAAATTTTTTTTAAATACGAAGAAACTTTTTCCCCGACCTAATATCTATGTATTGTGTATCAATATATAGATGTACATGTACTAATATATTTTCCAATTCATTGAGCAATTGTATAACACAATACTAAATGGAATTAAAATATTAATACAAATTTTTTGCGATAATTGATTTAAGTTAATGCGTTGCTAGTGTAAATTATGAATTTCTTATATTGTAAATTTTAGTAATGCTTCGTTTCCGAATTTAAATATGCATTCTTCCTTTATAGACTATATTAAATTGACAAGAATAATTCTGAGCAAAAAAAAATAATAAACTTCTCCGCTTTTCTTAAGAAGTAAAAAAATAAATATTTGACGTAATAAAAAATTAAATTTTCGAATAATACATAGCAAATATCTCAATTAAGAAATAAACTCTTAGAAGATAACCTATTTAACTTTTATTACACGGAGAAAATTTTCTTTTAAAATTTCAATAAAATATGATATAATACAATATTTTAAAGAATTTTACCATGCACTTTACCAAAATTGATCAAACTCATTTTATACCTTATTGTACAATAGTTTTATTAATGAATGAGAGAGATTTATATTAAAATTTTTCGAAATACAATGTTGTCCTATGACTGTCACATTTTCAGGGTAAATTCTAAGAAAAAATTCTTTCCGTGTATATAGTATCTCATATAATTTTATTAATATCAACAATTTTGAGAATACTTTACAGACATCAACTTACCAATTGTTGTGATGACGATAATGGAATAGAAAAGAGCACCGGAAAATGTCCATTGCAATTTATCCTCCTTTTCGTTGCCATTCCATCCTTCCTTCTCCATTTTTTCCAAAAGGCATTTCTCAAATTCCTGCATTGTGCATTATTCGTGCAATCAACAAATAATCTTCTGTCGAATCGAATCAAGTTTAATAGAAAAAGATAATATTTTGTATTTACGTGTTATTTTTTTAATAACTTTTCAAGCCATCATAGAAGCGATTCTTAACTTCGGCTTTTGTTTTATACAAGTAAAAATGATCTAAAATTATGAGAAAAAACACAAACACGTACCTCCAGCTTGTTCAATGCCTGCTCTGTCCAATTTTCGCGAATCAACACGTCGAAATCCTTCGTAATTTCCCATAGTTTTTCCGAAACGTTTTCTCGTATACTCTTGATACTCATCTTCACCTGCGAAGAGAGCGCAGGTGAAGAACGCTTAATCAGCGCGGACGTCGCGACGCTTGACACTAGTCAATAATTCATTGACACGAGCGTGGAATATTTGACGTGGGAGAAATTATTTGTTCCCTGTATCCTTTTTTCTTTTAGTGTCGAATCAATTTCTGTCCCAGTAAACTTCGATCCAATAAAATTACGTGATAGAGATATTATTTAATGTTCTAACTAAATTATTAATCCAGATGTTAGTAAAATTAACAAGAATGCATACAACATTCATGACTATTTACTTTCATATTTATTTTTATAACTATTTAATGAAAAAGTGTTAAATAAAAGAATAAAAAGGAAATATTTGGCAACAGTAGAAAATAAGTACTATAAATTTAACATAATCACTATTATAATTACTATTAAAAACTAATTACGAATACAATTAGATTTATTCTGTTCTGAGATAATTGAAATAAATTGAAATTATTTCAATTTATAAGAATTAATTTATAAATAATAATGATAGAGTTAAGACTATATATATTCAATTTACATAAATTTAATTTATTTTAATATGTTATCAATTATATAAGTAACTTATAAATATAGAAAGCATAATAAAGAAAAATTTATTAAACAAAAATTTATTAAACGACAAAAATTGAAATATATATAAAATTAATCTTTCCCTTTTATAATTAAAAAGATCTGAACTTAATAATTGATCAAGTTGTTTATACATAAACGTTATGTATATGTACATATTTCGAGATTACTTTAAATGTAATAATGTAAAATGTGTAATTGAAAGAAAATTGAGATTCTTAACCCTCCAACGCTCACGTTGTTATACTGTTTTATCATGAGTGCAGTACACTGTGTATGACTATCCACAACTACAACTTCGATTGCTTATAACTTTCATAAAAATAAACATTATAACACATTTTTTTAATCAAAATGCCAAGCATTAAGAAATACAACAATATTGAGCAAATGTTATTATAAAAAAATTTATAAGCGATAAAGTTAGCATAGAAGTTTTAAAAAATACAATTTTTCGAAAAAAAAGCCACCGAGAATGGCATTAAAGAGTTAATTAATAATATTTACTAATAGTCTCGCAATTTACCTCCTTCTCATGTTTCGCCTCCAGTGACTCGAAAGCGTATGCGCCGATTAGACAATAAGCAACCACCAAAGAGATTAACGTCACGTGAGAGAAGATGCATCTGCTGAATTTCCATAGCAGCCGGAGGAATCTGATGCACCTCGATGGTTTCTCCACTTCCACCACGTCGAACACTTCCGTTCGCGCGCGCGGCATTTTCTACTTGCCTCCTTTAGATCGCAGGTATCCTCTTATTAGATTTTCCATTTATATAGCGAGCGCGAAACCGCGCTTTACCTTCATCACTTAGCTTTAATTGCTAATAATTAAATTTTCTCTCTGATTCCAAGTAATAAATTGATTTTATATATATATATATATATACAAATATAATTATGGAATTATTTCTATTCGATATTCATTTAAAAATAAACAGGTTTGACATAAATTTGGATAGATTGATTTAAATATAAAAGGAAATAATTATTGCAAATTTAAATGCAAGAAAATAGAATTTATAAATATATGAAAGAGAGAAAAAGAGAGAGAGCACGTAACTAATATTGCGTCGATTTTCGATTCTGTGATAAACGGGAAAGGGAAAGTCTATAAAATCAAAAAGCTTTTTAAATAACTTTTCTAACTTTTGCTTTTCCCTATACGTCACGAATATATAAATATCAAATGACCATCAATAAATAACTATGTGCATAAGAATTACAATATCGGATTATATCACAAATGATTAAATGCAAAATATTTCTCTCACATATCTATATTTTTAAGAATATATATATATGCAGTAAATAGCGAAACTTTATTAGCATTTTTTTTAATTCATGTGTTTTATGTTTTACGAGATGTAGGGATTAAAAGCATTGAAAAAAGTCGGCGTTCCCGGTCCATTTTTATTTATTTTTTTTTGTATGTGCAATCACTATTGTAAACATAGTAAATTTATTCGTATTGAACATACAGTCTTGGGGTAAATAAATTACATAAGTTTCAAGAAAATCAATAAAAGAATCCTTATTCTTGTACGTATTTGCTACTTCTAGATTAAAATTAGAAACTTCCATTAACTTTACACGAAAAAACTATTATTAAAACAAATAGTAAGGTACTATATAAAAATAATATAATAATAATTAAATAATAATAATAAGTTATATTGTATTAGCATCATTTTCTAAAAAAATATAATTACATTATTTTATATAAATATACATAATGTGTGTATAAATATATATATAATGTATGTAATGGTATATATTATTGTATGTAATTGGAAATTCTTTTCTGATGTACGTATGTTATGTAACATTAATGAGAAATTATTTTCATTTTTTTTTTAATCAAGCGTTTTTTTACAAATAAATTGTTGTTATTGCTATAAATACAATTTTATCGTTATAAATCAGAGCTAATTTTGGACGAGATTTATTCATCAATTGATCAATCGCATTGTGCCAATGTAATTTTGTTTTGTAAAAGTTGCATTTGTGCATAATACGATTGATCAATCGATGAATTAAAAAACTCACTCATTATTGATTATGTAATCTGTTTTTTAATCTCGAAATTGATTTATACTCTTTCTCGCTTTATGTTCGAAGTTGATTTCTTAGAGCAGGGAATTAGAATTTTTTTTTTAATACTAAAATTATTATATTTACAAGTGATTACAAATACAAAAAAAATAATAAGAACGGAAATAATGAGAACATTGACTTAAAATAATTTCAGGCTTAACGATTGTCAATGAAAATGAAAATTTTTAATTAATTGAATGTAGATAATTGAATTTTAAATTAAAGCTTGTGTGTTATACATATATGTATTTTAATTTATTTTGTATCAATATATTTTATATCAATTTTATCGTCCATTATAAAATTATTCGCATTAAAATAAATTAACGCGATTTAATATTTATATCGCTAAAGCTCTTGATTATTTTAATCATTTGATAAATTATTATCAATGCTTGTTAAAGAAATTAATATTAATTTATAAATTAACTATGAAATATAAGAGTAATGAAATAATCAACATAAATTAAAAATTCAAGAAAGATATCACTAGATATATTCTAGTGTAATTATAAAATATGTCAAACATACACAATGGTTACTTAAAATATTTAAAGTTACATCAGAGGGCTGCTGACAACTGTAATTAATCGTAACCATACAGCCGAAAGATAAAACTATTTCGATCGTTTTTCGAATCTTTGGATAATTCTTCAAGACTTCGAATAATCTCTCTTTCAACACAGGATAAACTCCACGTTCACCCGTAAATACCCGAGCACAATTTTCATCATAAGGACACGCGTGTGATTCTCGCACATTCTTGACACGAAACTAAAGCAGAAACATAGAGCGTAGTTGAGTTACATCCGCGAAGCGGTTGTTCCAAATTTATCTCGGCGTTGAAATTTTGTTCGGAAAGTTACGGAGAAGGGAGTAACACGTACGCGGGATCCATCTATGATCGGAGACTCTCACGTTTAACAGGACATGACACAGAAGTTCAGAGAATCGCAAAAAAATTAAAAAGTTACATTATAACTTATAAATTGCATTATAATAAATTCATTAAATCTAACTTATGGACATAAAACATGAATTTCTTTGTCGATAGACATGTATTAACTACAGTACAATATAAAATTATTGTGAATTTCGATAAATAATGCGACAACGCGTGATCACGCGATAAACGCCGAGGCGAATATGTGTCCGGCATCGGTAATTATCGCAGCGGCGTGTATTAATTTGACCATACGGGGGTTGCATGAATAAACATGAGGCTGCCGATCATGTAAATCCGCCAGTGGCGACGGGGAAGAGCATAGAGAAATATCGCACTATTCTCCACGAAATCAACGATTAGGAAAGGCTTTATTTTTAGTGATGGCTATTTGCAGACAAAAATGGGATCGAGATGAGCGCAACATGCAAAAGATTAGTGCGATAATATTTCATAGTTTTGTCAAAAACATTTTCACAAAGTTAGCAAAACTCGAATTAATAGCTGAAAAATCAAATACAAGCGCGAGAATCTTTGTCTGAAAATCGATTATGTAATTCTTTTTTAAAAATGTAGAAAACAATGTAATTTTTCACATATATTTAATAGAATTTCATGATTACAATTTTAGTAAATATATGTGAAAAATTTCATTGCTTTCTATATTTTTAAAAGAGAAAGTATAAACTCTATATGCAATATACAAATTTTGCATTAAATTAAATTTTCTGTTGGTAGGCAAATAATGAGATCGATTGACAAACCGTATACCCTCGGAAGGATATTCATCGGTTATTTACAGATACCTTATTTATCGATGTACATATAATAAATTTTATTGGAAGAAATTATATGGAACCCTATGCTGCAGTATTGTCAGTCGGCAAAGTTATTTCAATTACTGCGCGGATTATATTTGTTTTGAAACCAATGCTGTATACGAATCAGAATTTAAAAATGATGAATTTTATGTTTTATGAGCATATACCATATATATACAGGGTGTTTGGAAAATAATGATAAATCTTTGGCATAGAGGCAGAATGGACTAAACTGAGAAGAAAAGTTCTCTACTATTTTGCAATTTTCACAATAGTTAAAAAAATATTAATTGCTAAAGATTGACAAAAATCGGTCTTCAATAATTTTTTACTCAAATACTATCAATTTTATAGAAAAACTACAAAAGACGAAAATTGTTTATTTTCTTCTCATAGAACTCTTAGAATTTTTTCAAAATTTTTTATTAACATTTTAGTATTACATTTTCTCATTTTTACCAACATGAGAAAATACAGTATTAAAAAATTCTTAGAGCTCTGTGAGAAGAAATAAACAATTTTTGTCTCTTGCAGTTTTTCTGTAAAGTTGATAATATTTGAGTAAAAAATGATTGAAGACCAATTTTTGACAATTTTTAGCAATTAATATCTTGTTGACTATCAAAAATTGCAAAATGATAGAGGACTTTTCTTCTCAGTTTAATTTATTTTGCCTCTATGCGAAAGATTTGTCATTGTTATTTTCCTAATACCCTGTATATATTATGTATATAATAAATCTGAAGACTTATTAAAACATTTTTTAATGTAATACAGTTAAAATAAAATTAAATAACTTTAGTTCAGTGATAATAATAAATTAAACTTCTACTTATAATATTAAAGATTAAATTGTTTAATGAAATAAAAATTATTATTGATGAAAAAGTTATTCTACTTATCACATTTCTTTAAATTAATGTTGCTATTTAAATTATGTCGTGTAATACATATATTTTTGCGATATTTTCTGTAAATTCTAATTTGTTTTCAAGGCTTTCATTTTTATCGACATTCATTAAAATTACTTTAATGTTAAAAAAAATCAACTGCTGCTCTAAGGAAAAGCATCAAAGATATATGATTTTGAGATATAAATGTTTTTTGCTTCAAGTATATTTATTCACGTAAAATTATTCTTATATTTAAAAAATAATAGTATTGTATCCCAAGAGATGTCGAAATACCTTTGGAAACTTAGACGAATAAAATAAATGACTTAACAATTAATAGGAAAGAGAATGTTATTAATTGCATTTCGAAGTCTCTTTCGATACAGCACGTCGTCGCTTGGTTGAAGGGAGCTTATATTGTAATCGCCATCGATTATCCTGACACATGTCGAGCAGGATATGCTGACTCATCATACTGATAACATCCGACAATTTGGACACGCACACGATAAGACAACGGGCATTTCAAATGACGCTAATGCCATTCGCTACAAGCTAAAGCGAATACATTCCAAAATTATATATTGTTATATGCGATCCGCCTAGATATAAATTTACATAGACTTATGCTAGTAAAAAATAATAATAATAATTACAGGATAAGAAAAAGATATGTTTATATCTTCTTGCAATAATTTATTATCTTACAAACAGATAAAGGAAAAATATTAAAGGATTATTGCAACAAACAAAAAATTTTTATCGTGTAAAACGGCATAATTATTATTAATTGGCTACGCGAGAAATTTACTGTTTGTCTTATCAGTTCAGTAGTTTAAAGAGCAATTCTTTTTTTAGATAATTGGTGTCAGCTAATTACTGTCATTTTATTTTAATATTATCTTTTTTCATTCTAAATCATTTATATTCAACATTAACTAAAAGCTATTTGTGGGCATGGGCGTGAAACATATTGTTGTATAATAACATGTTGTATAATAATTTTTACATATTATTTAATATTACATATTATATTAAATAAGCATAAATAAAAACAGTATTTAATTAAATAAGAGAAAATAAAAAATACCATTTTGTCTGCCAATATTTTAGCTTGAAAAACAGCCCACAGTTTTTATTTTTCAAAAATACAATATTATTTATTCTCGCACATAGACCAATGACGTCATGCGAATCGACTTTTCTGACTTTTATTGACTCGTATCTACAATGGTCCCTTTATATCGATATATCTCATGATGACACATGAATCGCCTTCTTACGTTTACAAACGACGTTTATGTCGAATAGTAAATAACAATCGATTTTCATCGTGCAGAAAGCGATCGAGGTTCATCATAAGAAAGAAAGATTTCCAAAATCACGAAGCGGTTATAAATAATTAAGCGAGATAAAAGAATCATATTTTCTTATATTCTCATTAATAAAGGCTATAATATTTAAAATATTATATTATCAAAATATATTTTGAATTGTTTTAATATTCTAATACCAATCAAAATTAAAATAAACATAGAACTATGATTATGTACAGAGAGTTATCAGCGTTATTGTGCCATTTTAACTTTATTGAACATATAAAACAAGGACAAAAATGACAGTGCGATCCCCTAACGCAGTTTGTACCATACTGACCATAATATTTTTTTATTCATTTTCTTACTTATCAAATGTGTGATAAAAATTAAAATAGTTTCGATTTTTGTACTAAAAATCTATGAAAATTAAACTACTTCGTGACTGCGGAAAACTGGTTAAATCAAAAGTAGTCTTTACAATATCGATGCTTATATACCTCACAGCATTTCAGTCGTTGGAATGGTATGTCAATACCTTTTAATACCATTCCAAAACAAATATTTTTAATGTCTAGATTAGACATTAAAAAAAATTTTATATATTTTATTGTAGTTGTCTAAATATATTTTCGACATAACGCACCTATAATGTAACTAATAATTTCGCGCCTTTATTTTTCTTTTATATAATTTCTTTATACTCTTTATTAAACTCTTTATTAAACTTTAAAAGTCTACATTAACTTTTATTAAATTTAATGTTGCGTGCAATCCGTATATTGTATCCAAATCCGTATATTGTAATTCGTTTACTGACACATTGCACTTATTCACTATAGCTATCGATCAATCGCAAACTGATATTTCATATTGAGCATATGTAAAACTTATATGAGAGAAATTATTTACAAAAAAGAAAAAAAAAGAATACTGCAGTTTTATTATGAATGTAATCACTCAATTTGCCATTCGAATCAAAAATTTGTGTATCGTTGTCGATACGAATCAAACTGCAATTACGTTCAGCCTAGAGATAATTTTCATTTCGCGGGCTAACGGATGCCTGAAAATTATCATGTTAATAGGACTGGCATAAATTGACTACAGTAATTTCCCATCATGCTTGCGACTTTATTCAACTAAGATTTGGAATATTTGTTCGATAATTTTTTTATTAGAATTGAATTAACTTTGATAAAAAAACTGTGCGTGCTTAAAAAACTTAAAAAATTAAATCCCGTTTTTTATATACGCTACTTTACTTTAGGCGATACAATGAATTCTATATTAAATTAATTCTCACAAACGATCAATTGTTCCGGTCTCAATAATATTCTTGATTGATAACCTTATTTAATAAGGCTGAGAATATTTTGTCGCTCAAGACACATGACCTATGTATTTATATATATACTAACAGCACTATCATCAGACAAAGGTTATCGATCCACGCTCTTCTCACGCACGCACAACACATAAAAATAAAAGACGCGATATTACGCTGTCACTAGAAATGAATCAACTCTATCGGTTACACCAATCCCTATTATCTGTTCAATTAAATCTCTGATCAAGTCCCACCGGCAATTACCTCCCGCTGATAGATTCATCGCTTCTCAACCGATCAAATCTTCACCAGAGAGAGAGAAATGAAAGTAAAAAAAAAAGGGAGATCAATCTCTGACGCTATCTCGACCCGAAGAAGCCGAGAGTTTTCAGAGTGTCGGTGACTCTGTTGATCAGTTTATCCCTGTAACGCCATATCGTCGTGTCTACCACGCTATTCTCCCGATATTCCACGCATGTTTTC